CACTGGAAGGATAGAAGACAGGGGTCACTGCTGGAAGGAGAGAGAACAGGGGTCACAGCTGGAAGGAGAGAGCACAGGATCACAGCTGGAAGGAGAGAGGACAGGGATCACCATTGAAAGGAAATAGGACAGGGGTTATGGCTGGAATAGAGAGGAGAGGGGTCACTTCTGACTGGAGAGAGGACAGGGGTCACCAGTGGAAGGATAGGGCACAGAGGTCACTGCTGAAATGATAGAGCACAGGGGTCACCACAGGAAGGATCAGGCACAAGGGTCACCACTAGAGTGGTAGAGCATAGGGTTCACCACAGGAAGGATTGAGCACCCCTGGAAGGAGAGTGGGGTCACTACAGGGAAGATAGAGGACAGGGGTCACCACTGGAAGGAGAGCGCACAGGAATCCCTGCTGGTAGAAGAGAGCACAGGGGTCTTCGCTGGAAGGAGAGAGCACAGGGGTCACTGCTGTAAGGAGAAAGGACAGGGTTGAGGGCTGACAGGGCACTCAGCATAGCTTGCTTGTACATGCACAGTCTGAACAACACAGGCAACAAGATCTCCTGGGCACAGCATCAGGTGTGGAGGGGGATTGTGACTCCTGTGAGAAGCTTTGGAGGGTCGTAGCCCACCCCAGCACCCCCCTAGATCCGGCCATGGTGCAGTCACTTCTTCCCAATTGGCATGAATGGGACTGCCTGCACCGAGATGCCCAGAACACCTGTGCATCCTCATGTGGGCAAACATAATCTTGCAGCGGCATACGCTTTAGTATGCCACATGTGAATGAGGCCTTAATAGGAATTTAGCAGGAATTTTGTAAGTTATGTTGTGTTTATGTGTGCTAATAATGATTTTAATGTATTTTTAGTGAAAATAGTGATTTGATAAACATTTGGGCAACTACTGCCTAAAAATCAGTAGCACCTTTTTCTACAGGTTCTACAGGTCATATGCTTTTAGAAAATGTATGGTTTTGGAGGTATTTTACAAAGTCTCAAGGCTGTAAGTGAAAAAAGATAACCTTCGGTTTTTTTAGACTAAATTGCTTATTTACAGTTGAGTAAAATGTACAAATATTTGTTACATATTAACTCAATGTAGCCAGGTAATTGGTTAGGGACATAGAGTTATTTATGACACTGCTACAGTGCTCTCTGTGCTGTCAATGGACTTCAACTGAATAGGTAGCACTACCTTGTCTCCACCCACCAGGAAAAGCTGGCAAGCAGAAGTAGCTCAGGAGACTTTATGATTGGCAGGACTTTATGGTTGCCTTGAATCATGGAAGATGAAGTTTGGGAAAGAAACTTTACTATGGCAGTCTATGGACATTTGGACTGCAATTCACAATGTGAGCCGGGTATACAAATAGAGAAATTTGTATTTCCACAAGCAGAATAACAAGGAGTCCTCTCTTTGCTCCTAGGAGACTGCTCTTGTGTGCATATCAACCTGCAACAAGCCTGCAGCCATGTGCTGAGGGCAGGAGTTACTTAAGGCAGATCTAGAAGTGAGCTGACATCTGAATAGTGGGACTCCAGTTGCTGTATCGCTGAGACTGGTGAGAGGACATTGCTGCCATTAACCTGTTGTTGCTAGCTGACTAAGCACATATGGACTGGTCATATAACTAGCAGCAATATTTACTGCATGCAGACTTTACTAGGACTTTATTAATGTGTCCCACCTTAAAGATTGGGCCCCAATGCTATCCAGATGAAGAACTAGGGCTAAAGATTGCTCACTCAGAAAGCTGCATCGCAAGAATTTTACCTATTGTCCATAGTAAGATGTACCTCTTTAGGACATTTTAAATGTCATTGCTGCTAAACTTCTGGAAATCTCATTAATTTGTAATCCCGTTGTATAAAGAAACCACTCTCTGGGCCGCTCTAAGAAATTTCATAAAATTTGGGATTTATGGCTTGAATCCAACACTACAACTGTAGCACATCCTGGGTTTGATAGCAATTGATAATGCTCTGGGAGGTGACTATTACCACTGAGAGCATTCCTGTTACATGTCTTTTATGTCTCATGAGGTCCACTGCTAGATGGGTTTTCAATATTTCCTGCAATTATTTGGGGAGAACACGATTTTTCTTTTTGGTCTTTCTTCTTCACTTATACACCTTGGTGAATCGGAGCAGGTTATTTAGCACTCTATAAGCGGCAATTCGGTATTGTTTTTTCTAGTTTTAATTGTTTTTGAAATTGTCTATTTCATTGTGTATTGTACGTGCTTTGAGCCAGGGTATGCCCAGAAGACTCTGTTTTGTTACTTTCCTTACTAAACCGCAATAAAGAGAGGTTTTTTAAAAAAAATGTCATCCCTGCCATTGATATATTGTACTCTAAAATGGATAGAGCCTACTGTTTACAGCTTAATTACCACAGTATTGATTATCATTGCTGTTTCTGTTTTCTAAGCTGATTTTGTGGTATACCAGGTTTACTCTAATTTAGCTGCATAGAACTCTATGCTATTCTTGTATAGCCTAGTGGATATATTGCCCAGGGAAATTTCATTGACCTGATCCTTCACTTACTCATTTATATGCATACTGGTCTTTACTGCAACCCATGACCCAATATATTAGGTTCATTTACTATTAACCAGTCTGATGTTTGCTTTTTGATACTGAACCTTATTTTTTTTGCAGGGTATCTGTATTTGCGCCCCCAGTAGCAGTGCAGTATTCATTTGATTAACCTGGGGTGGGGCTGAGGTTGAGTCGAGGCAGAAGAACAGAGAACCCAATCTACCAACCAACTCCTGCAGGGGTAGTTCTAAACCAATACAGTTTTAGCTTTTGTATTTAGTAGGAATTTAGCCCACATTTTGTCAGTTTTGCTGTATTTGTGCCTGCAAATAATGATTTTGGTGTATTTATAGTGAAAATATTGTTTTGATAAACATTTGCACAAATATCACAGGGCCTAAAAAATCCTGACCCTCTTATATATGTTGTACGTTACATAATCCTGACCAAAGTGTTCATTAACTCAACAGTTGCTGGTTTTAATTAAATTCTTCTTTAACCATTTCCCGTCTGACCCATGTAGATAGATGGCTGGACGGGAGCGCTGCCAAAGCGGGTTGACGTTTCTAAACGTCACCCCACATTCCTCCGGACACATCGGAACACAGATTGCTGTACTGGACCTCTGTGTGAGGTCCTGATTCATGTGATCACTGATTGGCCAGTCAGTGATCACATGTATAGTAGTAAACAAGATGTCACTTCCTTACATCATTGCTTACTGCTTGTGAAATCTGTGAATGATCACAGAGGTCACATGGTACAAGGCTATTCACAACAGCCTTGTACCATGTGACAAGCTGTGACCAATCACAGATCTCACAGTATTTCTCAATGGCTGCAAGAATTCAGCCAAAGAGAAGGAGAAATGATTGCTTTTCCAGCCTTTATGGGTGTAAAACCAATCAGTGTAAAAAAAGAAAAAAAAATCTTCATCACCCACCACAAGTAGTACAGTTTAAATGTAAAAAAATTTTTAAAAATGATAATTTTTTTTGTTATAAACTAATTTGTTTTTTTTTTATTAAAAAGATAGATGAATACATTTTGGCCAAGATTTATGAAGAAAGATTATTTATTTGCAAAATTTTATAAGAAAAACACTTTTTTTAAAAAATTTTTGGACTTTTTAATTTATATAGCAAAAAAATAAAAATCCCGGTGGTGAGTAAATACCACCAAAATAAAGTTTTATCTGTCTCAAGAAAATGCTAAAAAATTCATATGGGTACAGTGTTGCATGACCGCGACTGAAAGCTGAAAATTGGCCTGGACAGGAAGGGGGTGAAAGTGTCCAGACTTGAAGTGGTTAACCCCTTCCCGCTGGCGCCTCCCAACCCTTTAAGAGTTTCAGAAGCCGGGAGGCGGGGCTACGGGATCATGTGACCGCCGTGACGCGTCGTCACAGTGGTCACATGATCAGGAAAGGTCCCGATCGAAAGAGTAGACCGGGACCTTTCCGTGAGTAGCGGACATGTGTGCTGGGAGCGCACAGGGCGCGTGCTCTCAGCACATATGTTTTTTTCTTACCTGAACGCAAATGTGTGGCCACTCGGCGTCTAGGCCCAAGGGGTTAAGATAAGCCCCGTTAGGTATAATTAAATCTTTTTGTGTGCAGAAAAGCATATCTAAAGAAAGGTTTTCAATTGTTTAAAACGATTCTTTGTCCTGAGATTTATGTATGTCTGCCAGCCTGTGGCACAGAAATTAGGAGTATATGTGTAGGGTGTATACAGGAACTAGGCTCAGATTTTGTTTAATCATTTCCCTTTAAGCCATTCACATTGTTAGGCACCATCTGATCAGGGCCACCATTTGCCACAGTGCGCTGCGTGCACTGATAGACTTGTATTCTGTTCAGTCCAAGTTTCCCGAAAATCTTTCATAATATTAGTCATACTCACATTTTGTCACATTGTTTTGACTTTTCATTGTAAAGCCAAGCAGATTACTTTCCATGTGCATTGTTTATTTTACATATCATTTATAATTTTTAAATATCAATTATCTTTCATTTATAATAGGAGTGTCTGTTGTGCTTCAATTTGTCAGTAGATTTTCCATGTTTTTTCACTGAACAAAAGTTGTAGGGGGTTGGCAACCTTGTCGTGATTTTGCCAAGCAGGAGCCAAATGGCTGCACAAGGTAATTAACCCCAAAACTGCCAGTCATCTTTAGTATTTAACCAGCAGTCACTACTTAAAGCCATCGAAAGCTACAGAAAGTCACACCCAATATTTGCCACGGTGTGTCAAACTTAGTTTTTCTCTGGCAGAAGGGCTCAAGGTATGATCTTGCACATAGGCCCACTGCTTTCATAAAGCACACCTGCTTTGAGTCTCAAAGCTTGTGGTCTTTTCCATTGATCCAGCACTGCATACATTTCACACAATGTTTCCACAGCTAGATCACAGTTGCCAGATTTCTAATGTTCGCTGCAGGGTAAATCCTGCAATGCACCTCAATATTTGCAGTCTATATCAGTGCTCCAGCACTGTAAGGAAGCTACACAATGTTTCCACAGCTAATCTTCAGCTGGCAACATTTTACTGTTAGCTACAGAGCAGGGGCGGACTGACCATTTGGAAACTCGGGCACTGCCCGAGTGCCCGGGGTCAGTAGGGGGCCCCATGAGATGCCCCTGGTACCTTTTTCATAGGCTTTTTTGAGTTTGGGCAAGGACACAGGGGCCCCATGATCCCCTATTGCCCGGGGGCCCCATGAGTTGTCAGTCCACCCCTGCTACAGAGTGATTCCTGCTTTGTGTATCAAAGCTTATTGCCCATTCTGATTCCAATTTACTGCGGCAGAGCAACCCCGCTGTGCAGAATCACTTACGTGTCTGTGATTCAGTATTTCTGGGTAGGAGGCGCATATGTGCACCCACTGCCTTGGCCGTGCTGCCATTTGCTTTAGCACAAGCCAATCTACAGGTCTCGGCCAAAGATTTATGGTGGGGACCTGCAGATCAGCTCAGTGAATGACAGGAGAGAGCCCCGTGTTGGCAAACAACACAGGGCTCTCTGCAGAGTGCAGCAATGTGGCTGTTTTTTTTAACACAAGATAAAACAGTCACATTGTTTAGTAAAAGCAGCACACTTTACACACTTAACAATTGTTAGCACACAGTTTATGCTTTGGTTGCTCCTAGATGTTAACCCCTTTCCAGCCAGTGTCATTAGTAGGGTCACAGTGTATATTATTAGCACTGATCACTGATATTTGTGGCACTGGAGATGCCAGTGTCATTTATCCAGTTCCCACAAAGTGTCAGTTAGTGTCAGATTGCCCATCACACATTACGACTAGAAGTTGCTGATAACCACCATTACTATTATAAATAAATAAAAATTCCAGTATATATACCATCATTTGTAGGTGCTATAACTTTAAAGCGATATAAAAGTTCACATTTTTTTAATATAAAATAACAAACATGTATGGAGTGGTTTTGCACAGAGCAGCCCGGATCCTCCTCTTCTCGGGGTCCCTGCAGGCTCTCCTGGCTCCTCCTTTCTGTTGGGTACCCCCACAGCAAGCAGCTTGCTATGGGGGCACCCGCTGCTCCGTGTGTCCATTCACACACAGAGCCGTGGCTTGGCTCCTCATTGGCTGCCTGGCTGTGATTGACAGCAGCGGGAGCCAATGGCTCCCACTTGCTGTCTCAGGTAATGAGGAAGCAGAGACCCGTGACAGCCGAGGCTGTTGTGCACATTGGTAAATCGCGATGGGGCTCAGGTAAATATTGGAGGGGCTGGGGGCACTGCTACACACAGAAGGTTTTTTACTTTTATGCATGAAGGTAAAAAACCTTGAGCCTTTACAACTGCTTTAATGCAGCCAAAGCCATGTAGCAGATACATTTTGGCTTAAGTTTATGAAAAAATTAGTTAAATTTTTTATTGGATATGTTTTATAGCAGAATGTAAAAAATATTGAGTTTTTTTCCAAATTTTCAGTCTTTTTACAATAATATAATAAAAAAAAAAAAACATTTTTGATTAAATGACACCAAAAGAAAGTTCTGTTTGTGTGAAAAGATTATATAAAAATTTCATTTTGGCACAGCATTGCATGACCACACAATTACCAATTAAAGTAATGCAGTGCTGAATAGCAAAAAGAATGGTCTGGTCATGAAGGGAGTAAAACCTTCCGGAGCTTAAGAGGTTATATCTGCCTCACCTCTTCCTCTTACATTGTAGCCTTACCAAACTGCTTGCATACTGTCCAGTGCCACTGTACAATATTTGTTGCTATTGTTTGTCAAATAATAGATTGTAACTTCTATTTCAAAATAATACATGCCTTGTCTCTTCATCTTACATTGCAGCCTAACCAAGCTTCTTACATGACTCCCGTACTACAATTTAACAATATTTGTGGCTTTTATCCAAAATCTGCCCCTGACCAATAGCAACACAAAACAACTTATCCACGCCTTGGTTTTATCCCACTGTGATTACTGCGACTCCCTCCTCACTGGTCTACCATTACACAGGTTATCCCCCCTTCAGTCTATTATGAATGCTGCTGCTAGACTCATACACCTTATCAACAGATCAGTGACTGCTGCCCCTCTCTGCCAATCCCTTCATTGGCTTCCACTAACCCAACGTATAAAATTCAAAATACTAACCAAACCATCCACAACACTGCCCCTAGCTACCAACCAAACCAACCTCATCCGCAGATACTGTCCAAATCGCTCGCTCTGCTCCTCCCAAGACATCTTGCTCTCTAGCTCCCTCATCATCTCCTCCCAAGCTCACCTCCAGGACATCTCCAGAGCCTCTACCATCCTCGAGAACTCCCTACCACAGTATGTCCAGTCAGTCCCCACCCTGTTGGCCTTTAGGCGGTCTTTGAAAACTCACTTATTCAGGGATGTCTTCCCTACCTCCACCTAAAGAGTGTACTTGAGCCACCTCCATCAGAACATCGCTGTCAGGGATCCCGGGTCCTCAACATATCAGAACAGCTTTGAACAGAATAGTATTTTGTTTTTCTGGGTCTAACCATCTCTCCCACAGGAATAGCCATGGATCCCCAAAAGGTTTCGGCCATTTTAGATTGGCCAGCCCCCACCGATAAGAAAGCGGTCCAACACTTCATCGGCTTCGCGAACTTTTACAGAAAGTTCATTAAGAACTTTTCGGGCCTAGTGTCCCCTATCACCCAGCTGACCAGGCAGGGGGTTTGCTTCCAATGGACACCTGAGGCACAGAGGGCTTTCGAAGCCTTAAAGGAATTGTTTACGGCAGCTCCTATTTTGAGCCACCCTGATTCGTCCTTGCCATATATCTTGGAGGTGGACGCATCCGATAATGCGGTCGGGGCGATCCTGTCCCAGAGGAAGGGCATCAAAGAACTCATGCACCCGGTGGCTTTTTAGGGCATGTACTTGCAGCCCCAGCCACGCAGGATATGTTGACATTTCTGTCAACCAATAGCAAGTTATTGCAGGAAGCAATGGCAAAGGCCCAGGATGACAACAAGAGGGCATTTGATAGGAAAAGAAGAGGGGAATTGAGTTTGCGGCCAGAGGACCAGGTTTGGTTGTCCACCGCAAATTTAAAAATGTCCTGCCCTTCGAAGAAATTGGCTCCCAAATTCTTGGGGCCTTTTCGGGTCAAACGTAAGATCAACGAGGTGGCATACGAGCTGGCACTGCCCGAGTCTATGAAGGTTCATCCAGTCTTCCATGTGTCCCTGTTGAAACCAGCAACTCCAGACCCCTTCCCGGATCGAAGGTCTAAACCATCGGAGGCAGTAAACGTGGATGGGGAGGAGGAATTTGAAGTTGAAGCTATCTTAGATTGTAGGAAGAGGGGAGGCCAAACTCAGTTTTTGGTTAAATGGAAAGGATATGGGGCGGAGGAAAATTCATGGGAGTCGGCCCAAAATGTGCACGCCCCAAGTCTTGTGCGGGAATTTTTTCGGAACCAGCCGTTGAGTAGGGGTCGGTTGGGCATCCGGAGGTTGCCCGTAGGGGGGGGGCAATGTCAGGGATCACGGGTCCTCGGCGGTGCGCGCATGCGCAGACTGACGATCCGTCCCAGCCGGCGAGCGCAGAGTCCTCGGCGATTGCGACGGCGGCCGCGCATGCGCAGTAGCGATTGCGGCCGCACCAATGGGAGAGCAGGGCGCTCTATTTAAAGCTGCCCTGTGCATCTCCAAGTTGCCGCAAGGTCTGGTTTCCTGTCCTGTAAGTACGTTTCCTTGTTGCCAAACTCTGCCTGTTCTGTTTTATGCTGACCTTCTCCTGCTCTGACCCCGGCTCGTTCCTGACTATCCCTCTGCCTGACCCTCGGTACCACGCTGCCCGCTACCTGCTGAACCTGGCTTGTGACCCCGACCATTCTCCGCTTACTCCCCCTGTACCACGCTGCCCGCACAATACCGACCCGGCTAGTCTGACCTCGCCTACTCCTGACAGTCGCCCATCCATCCCGCTCGGATCGGGATCTGTCATCCCATCCATCCCGCTCGGATCGGGATCTGTCGTCCCCTTCACAGCAGGCTCAACCCGGGCACATACCCTCAGCGGGACCCCTCTACCGCCGCCGGGGGTGCCCAGGAACGCGACCTGGTCTCAGTCTTGCACCAAGTCCATCCCCACCATCAGGGGCCCTGGTGAAAAGGCAGACTGGGACTTAGACTCCGCGTCCTGGGAAACCCCGTGCCGTGGACCACTAGAGATCCCGTTGGGCGGAGCCTGACAATCGCCTATAGCTACCACCTTTTGTATCACCTCCCCCTTCCTTTAGATTGTAAGCTCCACAAGCAGGGCCCTCATATTCCTTCTGTACTGAAATGTAGTGTAATTATACTGTCTCCTTTATATTGTAAATTATTATATAATAATGATAATAATAATAAAAATAATTTTATCTCTCAAATAATACACTCCATTTTTTATTTCAAGAAAAAACCTGCCTTGCCCCTTTCTATTATACAGTGGCCTAATAAAGCTGCTAACATAGTGTCCAACCACTGTACATATTTGCTATTCTCTGGCAAATAATACATGTAGCCCCCTTGTCCTAAACAGGGACTACCAGTAAACTTAGTTGTGCTGGTATGTAGGAAACCTGGTTTAATAATAGTCTTTTTAATCATTTTCGGTTTTCTCCTAACCCTGGTGTAGCTGTAGTTGCTCCCTTCTGTCAATAGGTGGCACTGTTACCTTTCGCATTAGTATGATGAACTGCAGTAAAGCTATAAATATGCATACTTTTCTCAGCTAATCAGTAGGAGTTTCATTGCAGCTAAGTATGCAGGGAGAAAATATAAATATTTGGGGAGGTCAGGTGATTGGAGTTTTCTCACACAGACTTTGTTTTGGTGTGGATGAGTGAGAAACTGCTGTTTTTTCTTGTCCTGAATAGTAATGAGCTTTATGAACATTGGCTGTTCCTGTGTTCGCTGAACACACAAATGGTAAGGGTGTTCGGTGGGCTGTTTGCCCGCCGCACTCCACAATGCACTTTGCCCTGACAGTGCATTGTGATTGTCAATGCACCTGGCCACAGCCCCCCTGCCCGCTGACAGCTGAAACATTAAAGAATGTTTCACCACTAAAATACCGCATGACTTAATAATATAACTCATGCGGTATTTTAGTAGCTGAGCAGTATCCTACCACATACTCAGATGCGGTAAGATACCTCTCAGTAAATTGTCCCAGTTTGAAGTTCACGGTCGAACTTTTGGTAGTGTTGAATATTCGA